GAAATCGCTGGCATCACAGACCACATGAAATGGCCTGTCCTGATCGGCTATTGCTAGGACTGGGGATTGTATCAAGCTCTGCTTGATACCCTCAAAGGAGCGTTGACATTCAGCGTTCCATAACCACCTCTCGTTCTTTTTCAACAAACGAGAGAGGTGTACAGTCATCTCGGCGTAATTGCGTGAATACTTATGCAAATACGCCGCTAGCCTAAGGAATTTTCGAAGACCTTTGACATCGACCGGCACGGGCCAGTCGGTGATCGCCTTGATCTTTTCGGGATCAGGACGTACACCGTTCTTACCAACGATGCACCCAAGAAGTGGTATTTCGCTTGCTGCAAATATACACTTCTTGAGGTTTGCATACAATTGATGCTTTCGCATGATTGTAAGAACTTGTCGGACGTGGTACTTGTGAACCTCAACGTCCGACTTTCCATCCATAGCTCGACTATGGATGAATACGTCATCGAAATAACTCGGCGCGAATTCTCGTACTGGCCTCAACAGATGTGATACACACCTGTTGAACGTGGCAGGGGCATTACTGAGCCCTTGTGGCATTACTAGCCATTCCCAGAGCATGCCGCTAGGCGTGCTAACTGCGGTATAGGGTATATCCTGTTCCCGCATTAGGATTTGATAGAAGCCATCCATCAAATCCATGGACGAAAAGATGGTACTCTTTGACATACCATCAATGATTACGTCCTTCCTCGGTATCGGCGTCTGAGCCGGTACCGTTGCAGCGTTCAATTTGTTAAACGCGTGCACTATCCGCCACCCTCCTGTTGCTTTTCGCACACAGAAGGTCGGAGAGCTATGTGGGGAAGTTGATTCCCTCACATGGCCCGCTGCTAAACGATCGGCAAAGAACTTGTCGATCGCAAGTACTTGTTCACGAGGCAGTGGCCACTGCTTCATGACACAGTACTTCGAGCCTGGTTTAAGCTCGACTTCGTGTCGAATACCTTTATCCTTCGGTAATTCGCACGGAACAGTTTCAGGGAATACATCCTTGAATTCAACCAAATCTTCATAGAGAGGATTTTCCTTGAGCGATTCCCATGATTGGGACTCATATCGCTCAATTCGTGTCTTTTCATCTAGGACACTCTCGTCCATAGATGAACTACTGAGAACTCTCTCGTTCTCAGTAAACACTGTTGCTGACCTTATGTCGGTTACATACTCGTCTTCAGCGACGAGTATGCAGATCTGCTTGACTTTGCCACTACGCAGATCACGCAAGAATCTTTTATGTTTGAGCGTTGGCAACTGAGTGATCTCCGAAGTTAACTTCGGAGGCGCAATCAGATCAAGTGTATAAGCGCCTACACATGATCCGTTATTGACTATGACATTCAATGTCTCTGTCATTTCCTGGGGACTTATTCCCTCAGGCTTCGAAGGACTTATTCCTTCGTCTTCCCGGGGACTTATTCCCGCGGGTTTCGGGGAACTTATTTCCGCCGTATTTGTAATCTTGGGACTTATTCCCTTTACTTCCTCTAGCTGGGGTTGCGCAACCACAGCGAGATCCTCTACGAAAGACTCTCCAGTCGATCTAGGATTATCGTTTCGCTTAACCTGAGCGATCGATTGTTTCTCTTCTAGATGTTCCCCTCTAGGGATACATCTTTGTCCCAGTCCACCCGACTTATTCGAGTGGTGGACCTTCGGCGCAGCCTGTGTTTCCTCACAGCCGCCGGAACTTTGCTCCGAAGTGTAACCGTTTGGTACACTAAGGTTTTGTGCAGTCGTACTAACGACCGTACCACAAGTGAGGCCATCGCACTCACTCGTAGTACATCCACACGCTTGTGGACGCTCCAAAACGTTCATCAGATGGCCATCTGATGAACAATCGGCAGACATCGTTACTGTCCGATGTTGCCAGTTTACTCGTGGTTCGTACCTTCTGAGCCACGGTATTCCAAGGATGACATCAAATTTGTCATCCAAATCCAATACGATAAAGTCATCGTCATAATGGGTATCTTCTAGCGTATAGTGGATCTTCACTATACGCTTCATGACGGTTACGGATGCGCCTGTCGCAAGACGTACCGTCATCCTCGTAGAAGGTGTGTCACATTCACTGAATTTAAAGTGACCATCTTCTAGCGATTGGCGTCGCACAAAATTGTTGGACGCCCCACAATCGACTAGAGCTCGAAGGGACAACTTATTCGTCACTTCGAGTTTCAAGGTAATGAGTGAGATCTCATTACCTAGAGCAGCAACGCACAATGTCTGTGTGTTGGGAGCAACCTTCATCAAGAGGCCTACAAATTCTCTTGACGTTGCTGGATCAGTAGGGTGCTCCGCACCTACTGATCCTGTCCGTTTTTTGACGGTCCATCCCGTTGTTGCGTCTTTGCACCAACTGCGGACCCTCGTCCCTGCCCCTTTCTCATGGGTGGACGGTCACTACGCCCAGTGTCGCGAGACACTGGACGAGGGGCACTACACTCGTAAGCGTAGTGTCCTGTCTTTTGACATCTGTTGCATCTCTGCAACTTCTTGTAGCCTGTAGAGCGAGCCTTCTCGCTATCTACATAACAGAGTTCCATCGGCTCTGGACCTCCGTTGTCATATCGTCTCGGTTGACGATATGATGTCGAGCTGGCGCGAGCCTGTCTCAGACTGAAGTCTTCCTGCTCCGCAATTGAAATGGCTTGTTCTAGTGAATCTAGTTCAAGCCGGAACAGGTGAGTCTTGACGGGACCATCCGCAAGACCCTGCATGAACACCGAAACCAACGTGTGTTCATCCACCGGATTGGAACTTATACAACTCGTGAGATGTCGTATATGTTGAGCGTAAGCGTGCACATCACGCTTACCCTGCTTGAGCTTCAAGAGTTCGGTTCGAGCTCTGAACTCAGCTCTAGGCGGTTCAAACGTTTGTCTGAGCCGCGACTTGAAGACTTCCAACGACCCAAACGCATATGGGTCGTGCAGCTTGAGCCCCAGTGCCCAAGTCTTGGCACGTCCTGCCAGATTTGACTGGGCAAATGCAACTTGCATATCCCCGTCGTCGATGCGACGCGCCCTTATGGCGTCATCCAATTCGACGAACCATCTCAAGAGGGAGTCTTCTTCGACCCCCTATACTTTGAGATGTCAATCTTCAAAGTCTCGGGCCGACACGAGTGCATCGACCCGCCAGCAGCAGCCTGCTGCTGTCTCAACAGTTCAAACTGTTGAGCACCTTGTTCTCTCAACAACTCTGCTTGTTGAGAACCTTGTTGGTGAAGCAAGGCTACTTTCTCGCGTTCTGCGTCAAGTTCATTTTGAATGAACTTGGCGATAGTAGCATGTTGGGCATCTCTATTGAGAGCCTCTAGCATGACGCTAACAGCATGGATGCCCATGGTCGAACCCATTCGTTCAACCGCATCCCATTCGACATCGCTCAAATGGGAGTAGCCGTCACGCGTAGCGTGAAAGCTTTGGTCATCTTCATCATCCAACATATTCATGTTGGATGTGAACGCGGTCCTTGGACGGACTACGAAGTGCTACCAGGTGTATCGGGGCACCCTGAAGCTTGTACTGGTGACAGTACAAGCTACTTATTCTGATAACAGAATAAGGCGGTGCCTCGTAACTTCACGTACACTCGTACGTGCAGAGGAAGACGGTAAGAAGAAGCGAGTACTCGGTTAGAGTAAAAAGTAGAACTGTGTTTATAATAGTTAATGTCTGCAATAAATCACTATTTATCTTCATCTAACTATGTCTAAATACAAATGTGTAAATCAGTTATCTGCTCACCACTCATTGCGTGCGTCTGTCGTGGCGCGTCTTCGTTGGTTGATATAATGGCCTATATCAACCAATTAGGAACTACTTGGAAGTGCTACAGAATATTGTCCTTATGACAATATTCTGAGAATATAACTCTTATAGTTATATTCTATTAACAATTTCTTATAAATTGTTATGTAACGATTCACCCCGTTACACTCTACCAGTATCTAGGTGATCTCAACTATATGTTTCTTGCCTCAACATATTCAAATGCTGCGAGGCGTTATGTCACCCTAGTAAGAGAGACCTTGTGATCAATAAATTCAGAATTTTTTTCATTTAGCTACTGGCGTCGTGCAGAGTTTTCAAAGCCTAATAATCGACTACGGATAGTAATGGCATAGCCTTTGCTTCTTCGAGCAATTGGTTAATGATAAAAATATCAATTATTGTGCGTCACTGTATCATAACAGATACAGTGACGCACAATAATTGCTTCAGGTAGCAACTCTCGTCAAGAAAGAAACTCTAAATTCACGCATTAAAATCAATAATTGTCAAAATCAATAATTGTCTTACGCTCGTAGTCCAGAATCATACTACACCTATTAAAATTAATAATTGTCTTACGCTCGTAGTCCAGAATCATACTACACCCCGAGACGTTGTGTAATTGTGTAATTGCGCATTTTTTAATTGAAGTATCTTCTCTTTAAAAATGTTGCATAACTCATATAAAGCTTATTAGAAACCATATACGTACCACACCATTATACATGTTCACCTACTGCAAAAGAAACTCATCTTCTGTGTATGCTCTCCGCACGTCGTCGAGCAGATTAGACGACGGAACACTCACTGGTCGTGCTGCAACAGCGGGATCACCCCTATTGTCGGGTTGAGCAGTCGGCTCGAAATCGGGCCGACGCGAAAGAGCATCAGCGACGACATTAAGTCGCTCTGGTTTATACTCGACGGAGGAGTTGTACTCCGCGAAGAATGACAGCCACCTCGCCATTCGTTGCAAGAGATGTGGGCTGTTTACGGCCGTGCGTAACGACGCAAGGTCGGTATGAACGATGCAGGGCCTATCTCCTAAGAGATATTCCCGAAACTTAGCCAGTGCACATTTCATGGCAAGGAGCTCCTTTTCATGTACTGGGTAATTACGCATAGCTGCTTGCAGATAACGCGATTGATAACAGACGACGCGCTCAACACCGTCTGAGTCGTAGTGCGTTAAGTCGCAGCAGATTGCGAAATTGCTGGCATCACATGAAATGGTCTGTCCTGGTCTGCAATCGCCAACACAGGCGATTGTATCAAGCTTTTCTTGATACCTTCAAAGAACTGCTGACACTCAGCACTCCATGACCACCTCTCGTTTTTCTTTAACAAAAGAGCGAGATGTACGGTCATCTCGGCGTAGTTGCGCGAGTACTTGTGCAAGTACGCCGCCAAGCCAAGGAACTTTCGAAGTCCCTTGACGTCAACCGGCAAAGGCCAGTCGCTAATCGCCTTGATCTTTTCCGGATCAGGGCGTAGACCGTTTCTACCCACGATGCAGCCAGGAAGTGGTATTTCGTTCGCTGCGAAGATACACTTCTTGAGGTTCGCGAACAACTTATGCTCTCGCATAAGTGTAAGAACCTTTCGGACGTGGATTCTACGAACCTCCACGTCCGTCTTCCCATCCATAGCCCGGCTATGGGCGAAGACACCGTCGAAGTAACTCGGTGCGAAATCGCGCACCAATCGTAACAGATTCGTAACACATCTGTTAAACGTTGCGGGGGCGTTACTTAGCCCCTGTGGCATCTCTAGACACTCCCAGAGCATACCACTGAGGGTGCTCACTGCTGTGTACGGGATGTCCCGTTCACGCAAGAGGATCTGATAGAATCCATTCATCAGATCCATGGACAAAACGATGGTACTTTTTGCCATGCCATCTATGATGGCGTCCTTCCTTGGTATCGGCGTCTGAGCCGGTACCGTTGCAGCGTTCAATTTGTTGAACGCGTGCACTATCCGTCACCCTCCTGTGGCTTTTCGCACACAGATGTTCGGAGAGCTGTGTGGGGATGTTGATTCCCTCACATGACCAGCTGCTAAGCGATCGGCAAATAATATGTCCATCGCCGTGATCTGTTCACGAGGCAGTGGCCACTGCTTCATGACACAGTATTTCGAACCAGGTTTTAGTTCTATCTCATGCCGAGTGCCTTTGTCCTTGGGCAGCTCGCATGGCAGGGAATTAAGGAAAACATCCCTGCATTCAACCAAATCCTTATACAAAGGATTTGTCTTCAAAGACTCCCAAGATTGAGACGTGTATCGATCAAGCCGGGTCTTCTCATCGAGGACACTATCGTCCACTGATGAGCTGCTGAGAACCCGTTCGTTCTCATCAAAAACTTGTTCCGACCGAATATCGGCTACGTACTCGTCCTCTGTGACGAGTAGCAGATCTGCTTGATCTTGTCACTACGCAGATCTCGCAAGAATCTTTTAGATTCTGGCGTTGGCAACTTGATTACCTCCGAAGCTGACTTCGGAGGTGTAACCAGATCAAGTGTATAAGTGCCTACACTTGATCCGTCATTCACCAAGCCATTTACTGACTCGGTGATTTCCTGGGAAAACACATCCGCAGGTGGTTGGGGATCAACACCCTCAACATAACTCTCTCGGGATTTATCACTCTCAGGAACTCTGGATTTTGCTTCCAATACGTGTACTGAATGTGGGTGTACTACCACAGTCACGTCCTCTTCGATCGACTCTCTTTCAGTCGATTGGGCTTGCTCTACGATCGACTCTCTTCCAGTCGATCGGGCTTGCTCTACGATCGACTCTCTTTCAGTCGATCGGGCTTGCTCTACGATCGACTCTCTTTCAGTCGATCGGGCTTGCTCTACGATCAACTCTCTTATAGTCGACCTCGCTCCAACGTGTTGTTCATCCTGAACAACACCAATTTATCTTCTTGGATGCACCTTTCTTGGTGTGCATCCGTGTTCCAGTCCACTCGATCTCTTCGAGTGGTGAACCTTCGGCGCAGCCTGTGTCTCTACACAGGTGCCGGAAGCTGGTTCCACAGTGTAGTGGCCTTCAGCACTGTGATCTTGTGCAGTAGTACTAACGACCGTACCACAAGTGAGGCCATCGCACTCACTCGTAGCACATCCACACGCTTGTGGATGCTTTAAGGTGTTCATCAGATGGTCATCTGATGAACAAACGGCAGACATCTTCACGGATCGATGCTGCCAGCTGAACCATGGCTGGTATTTTCTAAGCCATGGCAGACCGAGGATGACATCGAATTCGTCATCCACATCCAGTACGATAACGTCATCATCATACTTCTTTCCTACCAGCGTTTAGTGGATTCCCACTACACGTTTGTTCACTGTTACGGATGCGCCTGTAGCAAGGCACACCGTCATCCTCGTTGGAGGGAACTCTCGCACAACATAGTTGAACCTACTATCCTGTAGCGACTGGCGTCGAATAAAACTGTCCGACGCCCCACAGTCAACTAGGGCGCGAAATGACATTCCACTTGTCACTTCGATCTTCAAAGTGATGAGAGACTCCTCATCACTAGGGGCAAAGTAACACACATAGACTGTGTGTTGGGAGCAATCTTCGTCGAGAGTCCTGCAAATTCTCTTGAAGTTGCTGGATAAGCAGGGTGCTCCGCCCCTACTGACCCTGACCGTTTTTTGGCGGTCCGACTTGCTGTCACGGTTCAGCGACATGGTCGGACCCGCGCCTTGGACCATTCCTTGGCCAACGGCGGTCATCACGTTCTGTCTTTGGACTTGTTGCGGTGCTTGGGACACTACACTCATGAGCTTAGTTTCCAATCTTCTGACAGCGATGGCATCTTGCCGTTCGCTTGTGACTCAGAGAGCGAGAGTTCTCGCTCTCGATGCAACAGAGTTCCATTGATTCGGGACCTCCTGTTCCCTGTCGTCTCGTTGGACGATATTTCAACAAGTTAGCCTGAGACTGTCTCAGGCTAAATTATTCTTGTTCCGCATACGCTATCGCCTTTCCAGCGTATGGAAGTCCTCCCGGAACATGTAGTTCTTCACCGGTCCATTTACAAGGCTGTAGATGAACACGTTGATATACGTGTGCTCATCAACAGGATTTTCCGTAACGCTACTCGCAAGGTAGCGCAGGTGTTGTGCGTATGCGTCCACGTCACGATTACCTTGCTTGAACTCAAGAGTGCAGAGCGTGCTCTGGACTCGGCTCTCGGCGGCTCAAACGTCTCTTTGAGACGAGACTTCAAGATCTCTAACAAATCAAGCAAGTTTGGGTCGTGAAGCTTGAGCCCTAATGCCCAAGTCTTCGCTCGTCCTGTCAAATTGGACAGGGCGGAGGTGACTTGCATCTCGTCACCCTCGATGTGACGTGCCTTGATGGCGTCGTCTAACTCCACGAACCATCTCGAAAGGAAATCTTCATCGGTTCCCTTGTACCTTGATATATCAATCTTCAAGGTTTCGGGTTGACGCGTGTGCGTCGGCCCGCCCGTCGATCGATAAGATCCTTGCTGTTGTAGCATGCTTTCTTCTGTCTTTCGACGGAAAATTCCCTTGTAGGAACTTGTTGATAGTAGCATGTTGATGGTCTCTGCTTAGGGACTCCAACATGCCACTGATAGCGGGTTCGCCGATGAGCACACTCATGCGGCCGACTACCTCCCATTCTGAGTCACTCAGATGGGAGTAGCCTTCACGTGTGACGTGAAAGCTGTCGTCTTCCACTTCCAACATGTTCGTGCTGGACGGACACTAAGTAGTCGCTGGACGGACTGCAAGGTGTAACGGGGTACCCTTTGCTTGGGGTGCCACGAAACTTCACGTACACTAGTACGTGCAGAGGAAGCTAATCTATTTAAACAACTCGTTTAAGTAAAGGGTAACAAGAGAACTGTATTTAATATAGTTAAGCTATCAATATGACTTTAATCTTTATCTAACTATATTAAACTACGTCGTCGTATGACGACAACCTGCTCATCGCGCGCGTCTAGCATCGAATAGTGGTAATCTGTGGTTGACATCTCTTTTATCAACTCATCTTGGAGCAGCGCATGAACACTATCCTAAAGGGGATAAAATGCCTTCAAATTATCCATCTCGGACAATATTGATAGGATATTGTCATGCTAGACAATATCCCTATTGACACCGTTTGGTGTCAATATCATGTAACGGGCTACCACGTTACAGTTTTTTTCACCAACTTGTTGGGAGCAGCGTAAACCCGGGTGGTTTACATCCCTTTTACAAACAAGGAAAGGCTAGGGGTGATACGCTCCCTGACGATAGGGTTACAATTCCAAACTCGACCAGGTCGATCTAGTGGCTAACTACTGGCAAACGGTGTGAAGCAGATCCGCTTGGTGCCCCCGGGTATACCTCGTCCAAGGACGACATCTACATCCTTAACCAAGTCTTCAAAGGAGCGCTATTCTCCAGCTGATGGGTAAACAAGGTGAGAGAAGGTCCATACGCGGCTTCGGGGAACCACCTCCGTAATTTAGCAGTCAGGCGCTGTGATTACGCTGGTGTCTCATTACAATGTTTTGGGAACCACTCCACTTCAATAGTGCGCGTGCCTAGATTGTTAGTAGACGAGAAACTATACCACATAAATAATGATCGCTAATGACCAAAGAAGAAGAAAAAAGAGTTGAATGAACGACCTGCCGTTGGGAGGGGTCAGGTCAACATGGTCAAGGTAAACTTATCGAAGAGAAACCAAATATCATCTTAAGTAGTCGTAAAGGACAAATTAAGTCATTTTATCTATCATTCCCTGTTATTTCATCATCTGACAAAGAAAATTGAGAGGCTAAGGTCCTTGAAGCAACTTTAATTAAAAAAACGCAACGTCCAAGCTAAAACAATTGAGAATGAAGGCACAGGTGGTTGAAAGATCCGACACCAAGTTGCTCCATCCCGAGATATCAGGTCCTTTATCCTGGTCGGACACTGATATAACTCTAATTTACCACCGACACAATCTTGACACGTTCATGGACTGCAACACCATCATGAAGTCTCTCGAGAAAGGTTTTATTGTACAGCTAAGTGGATTGTTATCTCCCCTTTTTTGGCTGAAGACGATTGAAGGCGCGATCACCGCGCTATTTATTCTTCTTTAAAATGCAGGAATGCTCGCGAAAGATTAAGTTAAAGTACTTGTTTTCATTGGGTTTGACTAAAATCAGATTGCGTTTGAATAAATTCACAGATTTATAATCAGATTGCGTTTGAATAACTTCACGGTGTCGGGGGAATTCTCGTCGAGAAAAACTCCATCAAGTGTAACTTATCCCTCAGAGCTTACGTTTTGAACACGTCGAGAAATGGATAAATGACGCCCCCAACATCGTGATCCCCCTTAACACAAGGGATGACCTGGGACACACGGTCGGTACACGATCTACCGCGAGACACCCTGTCGCTACGTGATCACATCATGGCGGAGCAGTCATCTCAGGGGAAGCGTCTACCAGACGTAAGCCGTATGCCACTGATATTGACAGGAGCAGAGTTGATCCATTCCCGAGCGAGGAATACAGAGCGGTAGCAACGAACTCACCAAACGGAAACGCGTGGACAAACAACGGAAAGCCAAGGTCATAATAGGAATAATTTTCAGCCAATAGGAAGTCAGGACGGTAGGGCACAGGACTTAACCCCTTTATGTGGCGAAGATGCGGGCGTGGGGCGCCTGACTACCCGGTAAGAAATTTGTAGACATACTTCGACGCGGTGATGGTAAAAAATTCTTTAACAGCGCCAGTTTTTTTAGACATACTCAGAAAAATGGTGGCCATAGGGAGACAAGAAGAGAAAAACGCGAATAGCCCGAGTCCAAGTATGCAA